CCCAGAGCAATAAAACACCCAGCCCGAGCTGTGTAAAAAGCCATTTATTGAAGTTTTAACTGTATCAAAAAAAACCTCTGGAGAAATAGGACAGGGAATTTACAGGCCACGGTGGAATGGAAACAAAAAGTTCTCAATTTCAAGGGATCCCAAAAAGGGTTTCAGTGCCAATGGAATTCATTCCACTTCCACATTTTCCTGCCACCCCAAAGGGGAGGTAGAAAAAGCTGCCCAGGGAGGTGTGGGGAGGAGGGGACAGTGTCACCAGGGTGGCACTGTCACTGGGGTGGCACTGTCACCAGGGTGCCACTGTCACCACAGTGCCACTGTCACCAGGCTGGGACTATCCTCGGGATGGGACTGTCACCAGAGTGGCACTGTCACTGGGGTGGCACTGTCACCAGGGTGGCACTGTCACCAGGGTGGGACTATCCCCGGGGTGGGACTGTCACCAGGGTGCCACTGTCACCAGGGTGCCACTGTCACCAGGGTGGAACTGTCACCGGGGTGGAACTGTCACTCTCCCTTGGGGACAGTTCCATGCGGCTCCTGCAATGCCAGGGTCCCGTGGGCATCACTGGATCTCCCCCATGTAGAGCCTTTTGTCACTGGATGCCGAGAGAACTGAGGGAGAGAGGAAGGAAAGGGAGGAATCAAAAATTGAAATGGAATAGGAAAATAAAAATGAAATATAAAAATTAAAATGGAAAACAGAAATTAAAACAGAATATAAAAATTAGAATATAAAAATTAAAATGGAATATGGAMATTAAAACAGAATATAGAAATGAAAATAGAAAAATGAAAATAGAATATAAAAATTAAAATGGAATATAGAAATTAAAGTGGAATATAAAAATTAAAATGGAACATGGAAATGAAAACAGAATATAAAAATGAAAATAGAAATATTAAAACGGAATATAGAAATTACAATATAAAAATTATCCCARTGGTTTGGGGGTGCCACTGAGGACACAGCACTGAACTCCTCGTTTTGCCRGAAGCCAAATTTCAGTTGGTTCCCAAACACCCATGGGATGAGTGCTCTGACCGCGATCCCAGGCTGGGCCACTCCCTGTCCCCAGGTGTCCCCAGGTGTCCCCAGAATGGCTGAGCTGGGATGCGGCAGGAGAGGGGCACAAACACCAGGAAAGGCTCCCGAGCTGGGACTGTCACCTCCCGAGGGGGTACTGTCACCTCCCGAGGTGGGACTGTCACCTCCCAGGGTGGGACTGTCACCTCCCGAGCTGGGACTGTCACCACGGGGAGTGTTCGGGCTCCAGCCCGTGCTCTGGCAGTGCCCGGTGCCACTAGAGGGCACATCGGGCCAGGGCAGTGCCCCCAGGACACGGTGTCCCCTGGGAACGGGGACAACCCACCCGGCCCTGGCTCCCCCAGCCCAGTCCCAGAACCCCGAAATTCAGGAAAACCTCCGAGATCATCAAATCCAAACTGCCAGCCCAGCACCACCCCAGGGCCACCACTGACCCTGTCCCCAGTGCCACCACTGACCCTGCCCCAGGGCCACCACCAACCCCATCCCCAGTGCCACCACTGACCCCATCCCCAGTGCCACCACTGACCCTGTCCTCAGGTGCCACCACTGACCCCAGGGCCACCACTGACTCCATTCCCAGTGCCACCATTGAACCCATCCCTAGGGACACCATTGACCCTGCCTCAGGGCCACCACTGACCCTGACCCAAGGACACCACTGACCCCAACCCCAGGGCCACCGCTGTCCCCAGGTGCCACCACTGACTCTGTCCCAGGTGCCACCCGGCTGCTCTCTGGGAGTCCTCACTCGTCACAGTGTCCTGTGCTCAGCCCAGGGCGCACCCACCCAGCTGGAGACAACCAAACTCTGCCACCCCAAACCTGTCCCATAATCAGTCTGAGCTAATCTGGGAGTTTGGGGGCCGTTTTTGGGGTCAGGCACTCTGGGTGTTTTGGGGCCGTTTTTGGGGTCAGGCACTCTGGNACTGACCCTGTCCTCAGGTGCCACCACTGACCCCAGGGCCACCACTGACCCCATCCCCAGGGCCAACATTGACCCCATTCCCAGTGCCACCATTGAACCCATCCCTAGGGACACCACTGACCCCAGGGCCACCACTGACCCCATCCCCAGGGACATCACTGACCCCATCCCCAGGGACATCACTGACCCCATCCCCAGTGCCAACATTGACCCCATCCTCAGGGCCAGCACTGTCCCCAGTGCCACCATTGACCTCATCCCCAGGGCCACTACCGACCCCATCCCCTGTCCCCACGTGCCACCACTGACCCCATTCCCAGTGCCACCATTGAACCCATCCCTTCCGACACCACTGACCCTGCCCCAAGGACACCACTGAGCCCAGTGCCACCACTGACCCATCCCCAGGGCCACTATGGACCCCATCCCCAGGTTCCACCCCTGACCCCGTCCCCAGGTGTCACCCCTGACCCTGTCCCCAGGTGCCACCCCTGACCCCGTCCCCAGGTGCCACCCCGCTGATCCCCAGGTGTCCCCACTCATCACAGTGTCCCTGTGCTCAGCCCAGGGCACACCCACCCAGCTGGAGATGACCAAACTCTGCCACCCCAAACCTGTCCCATAATCAGTCTGAGCTACTCTGGCAGTTTGGGGGCTGTTTTTGGGATCAGAGACTCTGGGTATTTTGGGACTGTTTTTGGGATCAGGGACTCTGAGGCATTCTGGGGATTTTGGGGCCTTTTTTGGGATCAGGCACTCTGGGAGTTTTGGGGCCGTTTTTGGGATCAGGGACTTGGGGTGTTTTGGCGCCATTTCCCAGGGAATCAGAAACTGGGGATTTTGGGGCCATTTTTGGGATCAGGATCTCTGGGAGTTTTGGGGCCGTTTTTGGGTTCAGGCTCTCTGAGCTGCTCTGGGTGTATTTGGTCAGTTTTTGGGGTCAGGCACTCTGGGTGTTTTGGGGCCGTTTTTGGGGTCAGGCACTCTGGGTGTTTTGGGGCTGTTTTTGGGATCAGGCAGTCTGGGTGTTTTGGGATCAGGCACTCTGGGTGTTTTGGGGCCGTTTTTGGGGTCAGACACTCTGGGTGTTTTGGGA